AGTGAGCTGCTTAATTAAGTGCAATTTCCGGGGGGACATCCCTAATGAACTATTTTTAATTTCTACGTGTGTATTTCAATTTCACACCTCTCACACCTCCTAGACAGCTCTCACAACCCTAGACAACGTGAGCATATGAGGAAAGCAGCTAGTCACAACACGTTTGATTCTTAGCATAGTCTCTATAGAACTAGTGGTACAGAGTTACTCGCAGTTCCCATCACAGCGTTGCAATGTTTTCACACATATAACTACAAACTGCCCACTCGAGAGTTTCCACTGCCACCCTAGCATTAACTACCACGGTCCAAGAAATAATTCTGGTAAAGTTAAAATTTGCCAGCTTTCCAAGTAAACGGGACGACCATAGTCAGTCACGGGCACCCGGACTAAATCGAATTCTCGTGATTATATCGTTTATTATCCTCAAAAATGAATGGATCTAATTACAGCACGAGAAAACATCCAAATTTCAATATTTTTCCCAATCTGACGAATCACTGTCGAGGAAAAAATGGTTGCTTAAAGCATTTAGGCTGTTCTGAATGAAAGAAAGAATGCCGAGAGAACTGGAGGCGAGCGTGAAAGCGGAAGCCCGAGGGTGTGAAGGACGGGGGCGAGGAACGGGTAACGAGGTGACGGTAGATATTGTAAGGAAAAATGACACAAAAGGCATTTTTTTACCTTTTATTTAGGCTCCCATCGTTACATAAAATAACACAGGGAAAGCCTTCTACTAGCAGAGGGAGCTATGGTCACTTATACTAGTATACACTAAAGTAATTGCTGTACCATTCTTAAACACGGTTGCTAGAATGGGTCGCACATTTACAACAACAAGAAACTAATTCATCATTCACAAAACACAGTGCTAAACCATAGGGAGCACGCAATCTTATTGAGTAGGAAGAGAGTAAATAAAGAAATGAGAAATGAAAAGCAAACATTTGACTCGTGTTGTCATCTCCATCTTACGCGAAACCGCTACCTACACATATCCTGCGTAACACTGTAGCGCTAAACTCGTACGCAGGCCTTTCGCGCTCTGCACATTTTTGTTTGGTTTACGTATAATATTGACGGCCGACCTCAAGCGTCCTCATGGGCCCGATGACGATGAGTGAGTGAGTGATAATATTGACGAGTCCATATTATATATAAACCAAAAAGATATTTGAAATCTTTGGTTTCTTTTTGCAGTAATTATTCCATGCACCTATATCTTTAGTGTTCCTTTGATCCCAACAATCTAATCAGGGGTCCCCTTGTTCCCTGAAAATAATTCGGCAATATCCCTTGTTCCCTACTAAACATACCGGTAACTAGGTCCTTGGCTGACTTTCAAATTAGATGAAACTGAATCACCTGTAAATTTCCAAATCCTCTGCAACCTAATGCACGAAATGCTGTGAATTACTGCGAAAACACCTTGTCGGCAAGGCGGCGCTCATTTATGTAAAGCCTTTTGATTTGCAAACTAGACCGTGCGTTCAAGAAACATTTTATGAATACAAAACTGTAGCAAAAACGTTTTTGAAGCAAATAGTTTTGCTGTTCCAGATAACAGTAAAAATCCGCGTTTGAAAACCTAAAATTTAAGAACCTGTTAGGCTAAAATTTCTCTGTTAAGCATCCTTCACAAAAGAACCATTTTAGGCTAAAATCTCAGTATAGGTTCTTATTTTCAAAATATAGAGTTTTTTAAAATATAATACAGCTCATCACACGCGATAAAAGGATAACAAAAATTACCCAGAGCACTGGCAGTGTTATAAGACCACAATACTATACTATGAATGATTTAATATAAAGGCCACACCCATGAGTACAAGTTAAAAATAAATGAAGAACCTGATTAAGGACCTAGGTAGCCTAATTTCGCAGTAAACATATAAGAACCTATGGAGGCTAACTTGAAAAAACCTAGGTTCTTATACGCGCGTTTTTACCGCACTCCTTTCAAAACAATGATGAGTTGTTCAGACAAGCCTTATTGACAGTGATAAAACACGAATTAGCAACAAATGAACAGGGATGCTCGTGCAGTTTACCGCTTTCCAAAAAGGTCCACAAGACTAAGCACCATCTTGGTTTTCTGACATGGTTAGGGTTGCTAATACAGTGATGGATATTTTAATTTTATAGTGGTTCTTAACTAAAAGAAGAGTACAAGTATAATAAACACTCCTGCAAATATATTTGTCGTAATTCATAGCAAACCATGCATGACGTTTTTTATAGGATACGACCGTAATAGAGTGTATCGTTTGTTACAGGGCACGACTTTTATTTAAGGGTATTTCTTCATTACTACTTCCGTGTGGCACTTTAAAGTCGAGTGTTCTCCTCGGGGAAGCCACAAATCCCTTCCAAGATTTCTCTGACGTGTTGGATGTCCTGTCTGTCATCCTCCTCTTCCCTGCACAATTGCAATATTTTTGTCACCTGGAAGTAAAGTAAAGGTAATCATTTACATGATTTCGAGTGCAATAGGGAAATTTACATTCCGAGTGATATTTGCAAATTTTCTTAAAATTGCAAGAGCCTTTAGACGAATGCAATTTGAATGAATTGTCAAATATGACTCGTAGGGTATCCTTAATCCGTAATCCTAACGCCGTTCTACCAATTTATTATATGACTTAGAAAACAAAAACTTGCGCGCGCTATTTTACACTTCAGAGGAAATTAAAAGTCAATGATAAATAGGCTTGACCTCAGCCAGTCACAATCCAGTAATTTTTCCAGTCATATACAGCTGAACCTCGTTTAAGACGACCACCATGAGTGGTCGTACGTTCCACTGTAATAAAAAAAGGAAAGAAAACGATAATATTCAAAATACGAAATTTTTGTTTGTTTGTTTGTTTTTAGTTGTTGTTTTTCTCTGGTATATTTACTTGGGTTTGTTGGTTCGTTCCTTCAGTTTTGTAGTAGCCAGCAACCGTTTCCATCAAGTTGAGGAATTGTCGTAGATCTTCCCGGAGCAACAAGCATGAGTTGTCATTGCTTCTGAGTATAAAGGCTCGCCCAAAACTTCCAAGTACTCCCTTCATAGATTGAACCTAAAATGAAAAGATTATATTGATTAAATACCTATATCTGTCCCTTACGTACCTCATGACATAAATACCCATACCATGGTTAAAAGAAGATGAGTTAAGTATGAGTAACCGAATTTTTAGAACGTCGTTCTGATGAGAAGGTGTGATACAGGGTAATGGAAAATTCAGGATTTTGGAATTATACTTCATGTACTCACGTCGCAATTTAGATTATGATAGCAAAAACCTCCTCGACGAGGACGCTTTGAAGACCGATTAAAGTCCACCATTTTTGTCACCATGTTGAAGGCTAAACATGACGTCACTATACACAAAATCAACTCAAACCAGTACAGGAGATCTACCTCATATCTTCGTTTCTTAAAATCATCTACGATACATGTGTCAAGCAGTTTTCCCAACCGATCTGTCGAATGAGTTGATTTCCCTAAGGATTTGGTTCAAAACAACAATGTGAGACACACACACGTTTTCGCGTTCAACGTTTTAGTTGTCGACTTGCTGGTGACGTATTTCCGTTTAGTTGCTCTTCAGTCTAAGCAGCATCTTTGTACTGAACCTTCTCGGGACTTCAGTCAAAATGGATTGCTTCAAAGTTAGCCATAATTCACCCTTAATACAGTTATCAATGCCAACCATTTGGCCAGACTTTCGCCAATTGCGCATGAATTAACATAACATTGAAAAGTGCGCGTGGAAAGTGACGTCACAACATGGCGGCTGGCATTTCTTTCCGGAACTCAATCTCGTTCCCAGGCTCTCTCTCCTCTACCTCCCTTGTCGTTAGGAGAAATACCAAGGTTGCGGCTGGTCGCGTGACAACCCAGAATCTGGGTGGTAAAAAGATCTGCCGGGCGGGAGGGGTTTCAGGGTATTTTGATTGTTGCTGTGACGAACTTTGTGGGTTTCAAATCCTCTAACAGTAGGGTTCGAACTCGAATTTCGCCGATGAAGAATGATATATTATTTCTGCCGTCTCCAAACAAGTATAGAGGACTTTATGTGGTATTGTGGATGTTAAAAAGTATTTTTGTCACACGGCCGATAGGCCGAGTATTCTGACTTCAATTTGATTTACAGCAATGCAAAATGATATACAGTTTTGTTGACATATAAGCCCGCACTTATAACCTATTTCATCTGCATCATGTTTATGTAAGTTTATATTAAAACAGATGTTTAAATGTGGCTAAATATCATTTAGGCAAAGTTAGACTCGAACTAATGCAGCCAACGGTTTTTCCCTCAACGATACGTGACCTGCGGGGCGGTCCTCATGGGATTTTCAGGGCACTTGTGTTTCACTGCACTACATGTGCAGCTCAGTTAGCTGGTCTTTGCGGATTAATTATTTGCACAGCTCAAGCTAGCGAATTTTTCCTGATTCTTGCCTGGATTATTGTTCTCTGTGTTGCTATTCGAAAGTTTACGAATTCGAAATGAACACCGGAAACGCTCGTAACAGCTAAGCGGCGGCCTTCGATGCCTAGTCTCTCTTGCCTGATTCCGAGGGCAATCCTCCGTGATCTGACACAACATAAGATTCTAGCGTGGCTCCCACTATTTTTGCTAATTTTCCGCCTGTCTACACGCCTAACGCTGTGCTGCAGGATCAGCCGTCCCCTGCTTTTCTGGCCACCGTCGTTAACGCAGTGAGGCAAGCAATGTCAGCCAAGCAAACTTCAAGTCTTTCCGCTTCTAATTCACTCGCGAGGATGTCCGTGGCATTCAATTCGGGAGGCGTTCCCGCTCAGCCAACTAGCCTTAGCCAGCTTGATTCCCAAACTTTGTCCTTAGCTTCCTCTGGCGTTGGATTTTCGCCCTCTCTACCGGTTGAAGCGAGCTCTCCAGCTTAAGGTAGGTCAAATTTTGTTGCACATACATTTGTTTCCATGTTCTCTCCTCCGATTCCTTCGCTCTTACCATCGTCTTCCCCTAGTACTTTCACTACAGCTGTCCCACTTAGCCCTGAGGGCGCTACATCTTTGGCTCAGATGGCTGTCTTACATCAGCCTTTCGTGGTTGGCCCTGATTTTTCTCTAGTAACGGCACAACTAGTCAGCCAGATCGTTGCTGCAAAGTTCATCGAACTCAACGATTTGCTTTCCTTGAACATTGTCCAAGTATAGCATGAGCCTCAGTTATTTTTTGGGCGCCTGATGGTAACGTCCACGCAAAAAAAGCACAAGCGGCGCATCAAAGATATATCCGCTTGGTTGGAAGCTTTCTACGTTTACTGCCTCCTCCTCTCGTCTTATTTCGTTCATCGCTGGAATGATCTGTTGCATTAATAACTACTTATCCTCCGAACACATCGCCAGTTCTCCGGCCGAGTTTGGTTGGCCTACGATTGAGCCTTTCGGAAGAGAGATCACCCCAATCGTCTTAAAAGAGAATTTAATCTGGACCTTCTCTGGTGGCACCAGTTCTTGTCTGATTGGCACAGCGTAAGCTTCTGGCTCTTCCTATGACTGCTGCCGGTGGCCGATGTTAAATTTAATCTAATGTGGCGGACTCAATTGGATATGGAGCGTATCTGAAGGGCTACCGGTTTGCTGGCTTCTGGGCTCCTTCCCAAAAGCAGCAGTCTATTGCCTACAAGGAGCTCTTCCCTGTAGTTCTTGCAGCTCATATCTGAGGACACCAGCTTCCGCTCAGACCGTGATGCTGTAGTCCACATCCTAAACACCAGGACATCAAAACGCCCCGTTTAATGCGGTTGCTGCACAGTCTGTTATTATTAGCCACTCGTCATAGCTTCTCCTTTTCCACTCAACATGTTCCAGATGTTAACAATCAAATAGCTGATGCCTTATCTCGTTTTCTTAGCAGAGGTTTTGGCGTTGGTGCCGGATGCCCAGCCACTTCCCACCCCCGTACCCCCCGAACTCCTAGCAGAATTAACGTCTCCGCCTTAGAGCGGTGCTATTCCTTTTTAAACCAAGGCCTCTCTCCGTCTAAGCGGCGATAGTATGCCTAGGTCCAAGCACAATTTATTTCCGTCTGCCGTCAGCCTGGTAAGCTACATACCTCAGGTTCTCCTTGCCCAACTGACGAGCGGATCTCCTTTCTGGCCAGGAAAATTCAGCATACTTGTCCGGGGTTAGAGCGCTTCACATTGAACAGGGGTTTCAAGACCCCTTTTCAATTGTCTTCGCCTGTAGCCGGTTAATTGTCCGTGGTTTTAGGCGCTGTCAGGCTTCTTCAACCCGTCCACCTATCACCGATGACCTGATGCCGGTGATTTGGCGATGTTTGGATCTTCGTCTCCCGGATCACCTCATGTTCTGGGCTGCCTTTTAACTTGGATACTTTGCCTTTCTGCGCGCCTCAGAGTTCACAGTGCCCAATATGGCTAGCTTTTCTCCATCATTTCATCTGGGTGTTCAGGACATCGCAGTGGGGCTTACAGCAATATCTGCCCATCTGTCTCTTCAGGTGTGTGCTGTTGCTATTCACTATAGTTATAAGACTGACGGCTCCTGGGGTTATTTTAGGGGTTAGCGCTTCTCCTTGACCGGAAACCCCTTCAGTCATATCGCGTCCACATCAGGGCTGCCACCACCACCACTCGCAATGGAGTACCAGATCATCTTATACAATCTATAGGCCACTTGTCCAGCACCACCTATCAGCTCCACTTCAGGGTTCCCTCCGAGTTATTAGCGCTGCTCCGCTCAAAGCTGGCATAAAAAAAGGACTTGTTCTGGTCACCTGCTGTGCCTCTTAGCGCTTACATCCTGCTGCGCCTTAGTAATAGACTTGCAGCAACATCTGGACATCGGCCACATGCGATGTGTGCTGTCCATTTTCGCTATAGCTATTAGATTGTCGGTGGTTGGGGTTATTCTGGGGATCGGAGGTACCAGGTCTTCTTGTTCTCGCGTCCCTCCCTTCTCCAAGCATTTGGAGAAAAGTTTCCATTAGGTGGTTCCCGCTTCCAGGGTTGCCGTGGATGCCTCCCTTCAGCGTATGGCATTTGGCACACCGCTAACCTTTTAGACACCAGTTTCCAAGCTAATCTATTTGTGATGAGTAGCTAAATATCATTTAGGCAAAGTTAGACTCGAACCAGTGCAGCTAGTGGTTTTTCCCTCCACAGCACGTGACCTGTGGGGCAGCCCTCAAGGGATTTGTAGGACACTTGTGTTTCAGTGCATTGGCTAGTGAATCTTTGCAGACTCTTGCTCCCTCTCCTCCCTCCCTCTTAGCACACTGGTTTCTCGGTAAGTAATCGGTCTTTCAGTGTGACGGTGCCAGTTAGCGGCCGTTTCTTGGAGTGGTTCCCGCTTCAAGGGTTGCCATGGATACCTCCCTTCAGCATATGGCATTTGGCAAGCCGCTAACCTTTAAGGCACCAGTTCCCAAGCTCATCGATCTATTTGTGATGAACTTAAACACGGTTCATTGGCAGTCAAGAATTATATTTTGCAAAATGGTAAATAAAACATCGTTTTATATAGCGAATAATGTGTCATGAGTTTAATTCAGGCAACATGAAACAGCAAAACAGTCTTACTTCTCAGTAAATCCACCGGCTGGAGTTAAAATCAGAGTGATACTTAAATACGCTGGACAAATACAAATATGTTTCGTTTGACCTGTGTGACGCTCAGAATAGGACTGGAGAATTTCAAAGGTGTATTTGCCCGTGTGTGGTTTGATATAGCGATGACCAGCGATCGCCTTTCCTTCGCTTCAGTTGAGATCGACAAAAATTATTCGTTGACCTGACTCTGGTGAAAATCTTTGTATCCAGGTGGTCACGTGACTGGCCGCAACCAGGTCTTTCTCCCAACGACAGAGAGGTAGAGGAGAGAGAGCCTGTGAATGAGGTTGTTTGGAACAAATCGAAAGAAAAGACTCTCAAAATAGCAGTAGTACTGTAGTTCAATACAGGTTTTCACCATTTTGATAGTGAAAATTGTGGGCTTTTCTAACATTATTTCTACAGATTGTAGTTGTCTAATTTTCAGTGGTTCTATATAATATGATTTACAGTCTTCTGCTCTCCTTTAATGGTAATACCGATGGTTGTCTCAGCTCATCTTTCATAATTTTTTTCGCTGCTATTAACACTGGCTATACTGTTTTTATTATTATTATTATTACTACATGTAGCGCAGTGGAATCCCGATTTTTCGGACCACATTGCGGAGCGGAAATTGGTTTGAAACAAACGGGAAGTTGGAAATACTATTTGTAAATTTGTCTTAACCTTTTTGCCGAGGAAGCAAAAGGGTTGCATTGAACAGTGGGTGAGCTTCGAAAAATCGAGGATTCGAAAAATCAGGAAACCACTATAGCCTTGGACTGTGATGAGTATTCTGACTTACTCCTTCACTGAAAGAAATGAGTACGTTGGATGGCGTGATGTCATTATGGCAGATCCCTATCTTGTGGAGGTGTTCTATAGCTCTACTAACATCCAACATTACGCTCAGAAGTCGCAAAATGCCTGGAGCACATGTCCCGACGTTTTCTCTAAGATAATCATCCATTGTTTTGCTTGACACAAAGGTAAAGCAGATCAATCTGAAATCAAATAATCTTCAGTGTTAGCTGCCTCATTTCCATCCATTTAACGACGTCCGTTTTTTTATGCGTGTCTGTTGATCGTGAGTCCACAGCAGCTTTGACAATGCGAAAACGAAATTCATGATCAATAACAGGGTAGACGCATTTAAGGTGGCTCAAAACAGTTTCCAGCAGTTAGATTTTGGTTTGTCATTATAACCCCTCGCTATCACTTATCATGGTATCAAAAAACTGCCCAATCAATGGTGAACACGTTATCATTTTTTCGTTATAATTAAAAACGGCATGCGCATGGCGAAATTCCTTTATATTATCAAATTTTATTAAGCAGATAAGATGCAACTTTGAGCAAAGATTCTAAAAAATCTGTACATAGAGTTAATGCTTATCAAAATTTGATAATATACAAAAAATCACCGTGCTGTTTTTGAATCTTAAGCCCCTAAAGCTGCCATTAAGGGTGTTTTTAGCAGTTCATACTGTTGCTATGGTAACCTATTGTATCACAATAATGATAACAACGTGTTCATCAATGATTGGGCAGTTTTTTGATACCATGATTGTAGCATCAAGTGATAAAGAGCGGTTGTAACGACCCATCAAAATCTAAGTGCTGAAAGCTGGTTTAAGCCACTTTAAAACTGACTTCGATTTGTTTGTTACAGCATACAATAACAAGAGGCCAAAACAGTCAAGGGCTGGCTCTCGCTATACGTGAAAGTGCGTACAGACCTGAATTTCTTTTAGGGAAAACGTTCCAAAAACTCACGGCGTCATTAAACCCAAAAACAAAATCTGTAACTAATATTTATTCCATTCGCAAATTCTTGAAACCCACTGAAGTGGAAATACTTTGAACAAGACACCATCATCGGAATCTACGTCAAACTTTGACGGTCCTCACTTGTTCGCTAATTCCAGTCTGAATTCATGCACTTTCAGTTCTTTCAAAAGCGATGAATGCACAACAGTGTCATAAGAAGTGGTAACATACAAGCTTAACCGTTTACTCTTTCTTTTCGTTTCTTCTTTTAAGTATTCTTCTTCAAAGAATCGAGTCCAGTCTAGATGCAAAGCTAAATCATTATAAACAGCTTGGCCAAAAATTTCAAGATCAGGGCGCGATGGCGATAAGCCATTGAGCATGCAAGGAATTGGATGGTTGGATGGCCATACTGAAAAAAACAATACTAGGTTTTTATTGATATAGAAATAGCACAGTGTATCACACGTACTTGGTTCTGAAACGAAACGAACTATTCTCACTCCATTAGTCACGAACCCCTTCTCCCCTCGGGAGGGGAGAAATTTATCAGAAAAAGTACACGAAGTTAAAGTGCGAATAATTTTGATATTAATATTCGAACAAGATTCCGAGAATCACATTGAAGTTGAGTCATGAGTCAACAGTTTCGTTTGTTTTAGTCCCCTAAGCCTCGATACGTACCATGAAATTGTAAAATATTGAAGTTGGTCTATTTCTATTCAGGGCCATTGATAACGAACAATATCTTTGCAATTTAAACAATTTAATCGAAACATTACTTCAATGATATTTAACATTAGGTACAACTGGAGTACTTACAAGCCGTTATTTTTTAAAGATGGTATCCTGATAGTTTGGAAATCGGCTATATTTAAAGCACAAGCTAAAATAGAGAAGAGGGCATCTGTTAAATTGTTTATTACGTCGACGTTTACCGTTTGCAAATATGGGCTTTGGATTAGGAGATATTCGAGTTTGAAAATATATATTTTTACACAACTTGTTCGTCTCAGGATTTAATCTTATCTTCGATTCGATAATTTTTTCTTTGCTGTTCTTAGCAACAGCTCTCAGACAATCAAGACTAAGGGAATGAAGGGCCAGATGATGATGAGCGACGTTTCAGGCTGATATTTTCCTGGTGAGCGTGGTAGATTTCACATTATTGGCTGCCTGTAGAGTTTTCGCTGTCTCGGGAGGATGGCTAAGCTGAAACGTTTATTTTGCTGCGGAAACTTCAAGGTTCACTACCTCCCATGATGTTCACACCGACGAAAGAGAAGACTTCCTTTGCAATTATTTCCCTAGAAATTATTAGAAATTTTCGTAACGTTTTACTCACCTTCAGAATGCCAGCGGTATGTCAGCAGGTTGTCATGCTCACCGTTTTTAGAAATCTCTCTTAGCACTTCAATTTCCTTGTTCCATTCTCTCTCTTTAGATCTTGAGAAATATTTTAACAGGCACATTTCTAGTCTTTCGTTTTCAACCCAAGAGGTCAAATACCCCTATAAAGAACATTTATGCATTACTTTTACAGCCCTCGACTTAGTGTGGGTTCTAAGCATGGCGGCTCAAACGTATAAGAAATACGTCGGTTTAACAATATACCACTTGATAGCGCATGGTTTCTGTATATTTTTAATTGAAATCATTTTGATCCGGAACGGGATATAAATTGTCCTGAATTGAAAAGGAGGCTTTTGTTTTTGAGCCAAAGTCAGCACAGCACTTGAACAATTTTGTTCTGAAATTTTACATTATGGAAAAGCAAACACAGTTGTTTAAGCAATCTTAAAAACTCTATCAACAGAAATGATAAGCCAACACACCTAACTTGATGTTGACTAAATCTACTGACACCGCTACAAGAGCACCCGAAAGGAACATTATCTCGAGCATGATTTCATCGATGGAAACCTAAACTGCAATGGTCTAGTTTTATTAAAAATTACTGTTGTACTGAAGCCATGAAAGCATCGTTATAAACGGCTATACATGCACAAGGTTATGTAGTCAAACTGAAAAAGTCTGGCAGACTTTTTTAAATTCTGTCTTCTTGCTCTAAAAGTAAATTATTATTTACTCTCCCTTCAGCGATTCGCTTAAAATCTTCATCTTGGTACCCTAGAATCATGTCGTGTGCGAGAGAAGGTACTTGGTCTCATAATTTTAGGAATGACTGTTTTGACCAAACATGCAGCAAAATCGCCGTGATAGTGTTCCTTCAAATTTTGTAAATGGCTAAGTTTGCGAGTCGTGTTTTGTAAAATAGCAAAAATATGGTTCTACAAATAAATATGCCAACTCAGATTTATATCTTAGAAGACACAAGCTTGCCCCCAGCAAATAAACGTCACTAAAATTTCCCAACTCTTACGAAACTCATAAATTTGGCTATTTGTCGACAGAGTCCTTATTTATGGCCATCGTCGTTGTATCGCCGTTAGTGGTAGGGAGTTTAACTATTTTTTTAAATTTCTATTTCGAATTTAACGCTATGTTGCATATTCATTCTTGGGATAGTTTCGGCAGTAAGAAACAAACTAAATGACTTTAGTTTATCGCGACATTCGTAGGTAAAATATAAATCAATTTTTTTTAATCGACGTTGTCCTTAAACTCCCTAGTCTAGTGTATAGAACCAGTCTTGCTACTACTATTAGACCATCAGAGTTAGCGCTAAACATTTTTGTCATGTTATGCTAACAAATAAATCACTCTCTTACATTGGATGGTTGTCCGATACCTCGCCTTTAATTACACAAAACAATGCTGGTGAACTCTTGACAAAGCCTTTGAAAACGTTAGGTGTATACTTACGGTCACTTGAGCAGAGTTACTACTGTGGAATATGTCACAAATTTCAATAATCTTTAAATTGGTAGTAGCTGTAGGCGGTTTTTCGTCAGGCAAACGGGTAGCCACAGATGACAAGGTCATATCAAGGTGTGAGTCACTTTGCTGTAATCTGCCTCTTGCTCCTGTGAAAAGTAGAATCAAACTTCTGCTTTATTATGCTGCTATATTATTCCCATTTTCTCAATTTTGTTCTGGATACATCAGCTTGCAATACATCTAAAGACAATTGTATTTGTGATCAACAGGAGTTGTAAAGCTCGATATTTGACTTCGAGGAAGTTGAGTCCCAGAAGCTTGGACACATCAACAGAGAGTTTCTGCGCAGTGTTGTTCGTTGTATACATTGATCTGCTGACCGATAATGGAAAAAGCTTTACTTTACGTTTACTGACTTCTTGTCTTACGCAAGAAAATAGAATACAACATAGAACCTGTTTATATGTGTTATGATGATTGCTGCGTCTTGCTTTGGATGAGTATTATGCTACTACTAAACCAAGGTCTGACGGGACCTTCCTTTTCTATAGGGTGGGCTGATTAAGTCTTGTGTCATGCAAAGACAGACTGCGTTTTCTGATTTGCAGGTGAAGATCTAAAAATTGAGTAATTACAACAGTAAATACTAATCAAAAGAGATTACTAAAACGCATGATAACTTCTTATTTCGTCTGTCTAAAAATCTGTCTACAACATGACCTTCTACCACTAGTCCTCAATGTTTTGGTCAGCAGCAAGGATTTTATGCTGTTCGAGGCTGCTCTTGGTCGATTCTGGATCGTTTCTGGACTGAAACGTGTAGCAAGCAGTCATATGTGCAATTTCAGCTTACCTGCAGAACGGGACATATTATTGGAAATAAACATCCTCATAGTTCCTCTTAAAGTTCTTAGCTTTTTCCTGGTTGTTGTTGTGGAAAATGTGTAAAGGAGAGGATTGATGGATGAATTCACAGGCAGGACAAACACTGCTATCCACACATACACAAGCTTCTTTGGATCATACAAATTTCCCGTTAAAGACAAAACTCCGATGATGATAACTGGCATCCAACAGAAAAAGTCTGTAAGAATTATGAACATCATTTTTGCCGCCATAGCAGTTTCACGGTTAACGCTGGTTGACCTCACTGCTCCACCTACTCGCTTTGCAGTAACAAACATCGCAATATATGCAACAAGCATAAAAATAAAGGCCACGAGGTTAAAAGCGATGAAGAACGAGACGGAATATTCCCATCCTGCTGGTCTGTCAGATGACAACTGTAGAGGAAGGCACACAGCCGAGCGACCATAAAAGCCAAATCCTGTGTTGTCATCGATAAAATATCCAATCCCCACGAGTGGCACTGTAGACACAACGATTCCTAGGAGCCACACTATCGCACACAATATATATACACGTCTAAGGGAAAGCCTCTTGAATCGGAATGGAAATACAATACACACGAGTCTGTCAGCTGTAATGATTGTTAACATTGCCACAGAAACCTCACTTGAAATCATCGACAGGACACCGGCAAATTGACACAGTTGGCCAGTCCTCCAAGTGAAATCATGTTTGAAATACTCTCCTTGCCACTGAGTGTCCTTGATGGCAATTATTAACAAATATAATCCCATTAGAAAGTCTGACACTGCTAAATTTGTTAATAGGAACGAGTGAACTCGATTGTCTTCCCTCACGAAGCACCTCCATGCGACAACAATTAAATTCCCGGCAAATGCCATGATACCAAGAATCCATATGAATATTTGGAGAGTTCTATTTTTCATGAGATCGTCACAGCTTGAGAAACCATCAGTCGGTGCTTTACAGTTTAATTGAGGAATGGCTTTTACTGCGTAGCAGCATTGAGTGAAATGATCCATCGTGCTGAAAGAAAAATCTTATGTTATCCCACTCGCGGTCGGTGTCGATGATACATTTTCACACAGTATGTAATGCCAAGAATCCATATGAATATGAATACGACGTGAGGTACATTTTGCTCACAAAAAGAGCTATTAGGATTAAGCTAGTAGCTAGAGAGATGCATAGTTAGTCAAAGACAACAGCATTCGGACTGTCATTACATTGGGTTTACGGATTACTAGCAAAATAAATGTCTTAAAAAGGTATCGCAGTTTAGTTTTTGCGCAGGAAATGAGAGATGTTCTGAGCATGTTTCCTGTACATTCTCGGCTTTACTACTTCTGGGTGAGTCGAAATCCTAACTAAGTTGAAAATGATAGAAGAAATCGAGGAACTAGGCTAAAATAGCTCTTGTTCTCATTCTGCACCTTAACCTCGATGTTTTAAATTATGTTGTATTTGATGAGGCTTCCAAAACTAAGTGGAGCTAAGCCCCGAGACGTGCCCCTGAAACAAATCAAAGGAGATTCACTTGCAGTTTACCGCATTACTGAGATTAAGCTTCAGTTACATTTTTACAAACTCTGGCTTTGTAGCGAAACGAAAAAAAAAAACTGAATGCTTCCGAGGACGTTTTGTTAGTTTATGGATTAGGCAATGTTACTTACAGTCTTCTTAACTTGTCCAATGCGTGGAAGGTTTCAGGAGAGAAGTCCATTATCTTGTTATTGTCTAAATACCTGAATGGCATGATTATTGAAATATTATGTTAAATTTATGTTATTACCAAGCTAGATGTTTTGTATTATGTACTGTTATATGTAATGTATTAGTAGAAAGTCGCTGTGGTTTGTTTGATTGGCAGCCCAATCGCTGCCGATTTTAAAACTCATCTCCCTATTGCCTTGTTCATTTGTAAAAGCGTGCGGTCCAGTTTCTACAAGTACTGCAAACATAAAATATGGGAGTGACACACATAACAGGTGTAACTACCCTGAGGAGACACGATGTGTACCAATCGATGTTAACATGCAGTTTGATATAAATAGACTACAATTATAACATTTTACTCACAGAACTTCTAAAGATGTTAACCCCTCGAAAGTGTACTTTGATATTCTTTTTATCATGTTGTTGTTCAGTAACCTTAAGAGACAATTGAAATCAAGGTCAATGCATTGCATGCACAATACAGTACAACACCTTTATTAATGTGTCAATCTACTAGCTGGCTACAGGGAGCCTCCTAACTGGGGACACCTAAGACTTAATGCATACTCATACATATTGAAAACTGAGAGAGGAGGATGTAGAGAGTTAATCCCCACATAATTTCAAAGGTTCATTGTAGTCTGTATCAAGTTCTTTTTAGATCTCTCCCAGCTTCAAAATCTCTGGAGCGTCTGGGAGCGACCAACTCTTCGGCCTTACACGCATTTTCATTCTCCGCGAAAACATTTACTTCACGCGCGTGGTAACAATATCCGTGGGAGGGATGAATTCCTTATCTAACAATAAATTACATTGAATACCTTGGGAATAAGGTCTACTTGGTACATTACTTTTCTTACCCTCCATCCTTTCTTGTTGGGATTTATTGGGTTTTTTATTTATTTATTGGACTTGAGGGATTTTAGTTTCAGATATCGAGCGTGGCTAGTCATTTCCTCGAATCAGATATATACAAGGATTTAGATGCCATGGAAGCCATAAGAGCGCTTTTGCAATTAAATTCTTTATTTTGCATGACAAAATTTGTTCACAGGATCTAAGCAGAGACTCAGTGGACAAAAGTATGAAACAATGAGGAATATCCTTTATTCCTTCTGGAATGTTCCCTGTTTTTATACTTTCCAACGGTTTCCAGAGAAGCAATACACGAAGCTACTTACAGAACTTTCAGTTTCCAAAGATCCTTGAACAATTTATCCGGAATAACTTCTATGAAATTGTCTTGTAGATATCTGTTGAAGAAACAATGTTGACTTTCTTAGTGAACGAAGGAAGAAATTCCGCGATTTAGTTAGCCTGTGCCTGGTCGATTATATTTAACATTATTGTATGGCTAGTTCCGTGAACAAGCAAGATTAACCAAACCCTTCACTGTGGCGGATTGGTTACCGGAACGTGTAAGATGGCGCTATTTTTGTCGCTCGGGATTACGCGTTGTATCCCGGAAGAAAAATTCATTTTTATTTTATTTTTCTTTATCCGGTATAATAAATCCTTTATTGACCGGCCGTGTTCGGTCAAGATGGTTGAATATTGGCTTCTTTTCTGAGTATTCAAGGACCTCGACTCCGTTTCGGTTATAAACAAGGACGAGGCCAATATACAACCATCTTGACCTCACGCTCAGTCAATAAACCAAATGTATTTCCCAAGAATGTCAAATTAGTCACGAGTTTCGTTTTAAAGCAATACTCACATTGATTTGAAATCATCAAACTTATTCAGTATCCACATCATTAAAGGTGTGTTTAAATCAGCTTCATGCCTTGTAGGTGGAAATCTCGGCACGCGAATTTAAGTTCTATATGGAGATCTCTTAACGTTTTAACAGAAGCTTGGCATTCGCCATCTATGGGGGCTTCACTGTACATGTTCTTGTCTGCAAAACAGCTTTCGTAGACGTTATTGTTCCTCTAAGGCCCAGTTCAGACGTCGTGCTTCTGTCGTGCCGAACTAAATTGCAATTAGGTTTGACTGTAGCACGGCAGGAAAACAACCCTGGTTCAGACGTCGTGCCAGAGTCGAACCAAATTCAGGATATACTAATGACTCGTGACAATTCTCCTCCTAACTCCCCATAGGAACGCAATCTCGCCAAAATACATTAATATAATTTATGAATTTTGTTTAGCGCGGCAGAATCACGACGTTTGAATCACTGCCGTGCCAGAGTCGTGTAGCACGGCAGAGCTTGTCGAACTTAATTGCTTGCCGAACTTAATTCAAAAGTCTGATTCAGACGCCATGCTCCTGCCGTGCTTTTGTCAAACTTAATTCCTGAATTTAGTTCGGCACGGCAAAAGCACGACGTCTGAACTGGGCCTAAAAGTCACTATATTGTTGTTGTACAAAAAGTTGAATTTTTTTAAAACATCTTCAAAGACTTAAGGTGTCTCCATACAGTATTTTATGGACCATACCGAGCATTTTCAGTCAGCTTTTCAACAGTCTTCCCTTAATCGGATTGATATGAAAATTACACTGATAATTAGAAATGGCTTGAAGTCTGCTATAATATATTTTTAAAGGCGATCGATATTTCTATGGAAACGATAAACAAAAAATTTCAAACTCCTGGCGGTATAAAACAGAATTTTGCGCGAACCAGATGTGATATGAAAAAGCTAATACCAAGGCCTTAAGCTATAATGCTAGAATATAATATACAAGAATAAAAAACATTCTGTATGTTCGATCTCGAGTAAATCGCAAAATTATAAAACATGTCATTTTTCAATCATGACAGTAAATGAACCGACATTTGAACAGCGATTTGATGAAATTACTTCAAATAATACTAACAAATGCGTTGGAGATGCGTTTTGGAGTCATGAAAGTTATGTTGGTTTTCATTTCAGCGATTTCGAGGACAAGATTTGTTCTTACGGTCACTCCCAGCTACTTTACAGATTTGCCACGAAAAATAAATAAATAAATAAATGAATTAATTAAAAAAATAACTAAATAAAGGAAAAATATGTATTAAACTACGTCTATAAACCTATTTACATTTAATTGTAAAGCTATCACAGAGTAAGAACTATTTACAGGACAAGAAAGCAATTCATGGTTAATACGTTGTCTAAAGTATTGACTCATTTGTTAATAGTTTTCTAAAAGTTTTAAATCCCATGACGCGCTAAGGACATCAGGTAAGCTCATCCAAAGCTTGGGCGCCTGATATCAAACTTCGATTCATTTTTAATTACTGGTGTAATTTTCATATCGATTAAGGGAAGACTGTTCAGTAAAAAGCTGATTGAAAATGCTTGATATGGTACAGAAAAAACCGAGACACCTTAATTTGATTTAAATCAGTCGGTTGGTCAGTAAGCTGTTCATTATCGCAACATCGTCGTAAAAAAAAGTAACTCCGTAGACAGATCTTGAGTAAATTTCTCACGATTATATTTCCAAACCTTCAATACAATACTGCTCACTTCCCTTTCCATCGGCAGATATCTTTGGGATACATACTAGTAAATGATGCAATGGCTGAATATCGATTAATATACAAATAAATGGGTTAAGTGTTTGAAGCGATTTTCAATGATCATCGGTCTAAACATTGCTGTCAACGTCATCGCCTTCGTAATTATACTACTTTATTCTATTTCACAGTATTTTGTATGGTTTCAAGACTCTTTTGTGTTATTACCCTGCTTCCGTGAATGCTGTGAGGTTCGTGGGGCCCCGTACAAAACATATGTGGTACCTTTTGTGAAGTAATTGTCCATTGTGATCCTTGTTTAGAAACGCTTTTCTCTTTTGGACATCATTAAATGCCCTTTTCGAACACAAATATGTTTTTGAATCATTACCCTGTCATTGCAGTTCAACTGGTTTAACTAGTCTGCCAGTCGAGTGATTTGCGAGAATACTCACAGATACGTTAAATTACTTCTTTGGCTGAACATTCCTTCCTCTAGGAGTTTTATTTCATTGGACCGTAAGCTCCTGTTGATTAAAAAAAGATAACGGTAAGAAACGTATAAGCCTTTTCCTCCAGGGGTAAAAAACCTTTACCTCCAGGTGCCACTAAGGCATGGAAAAGATTGAACTAAACGCAAAGAAATCGTTTTCCATTTCTTTTAGAAACACAGAACAAACACTAGCTGTTGACGTAGTGATGGTGCCAGCAAAGGAAGTTTACATTTTGATAATCAAATGAAACCACTGTTTTTCCTCTCTTTTCCGTAGTGATTTCTGAGAGAAATAGAAAACAATTTCCTCGGGTTTCTATCGACTTATAATCGAGTTATACCAAAAACTTGTGGAAGTTTGAGAGAATTCGAAAAAGGTTTCAAACTCTAGCCTGTTTCTTTATTTCGCAGCATTTCTCATTGTTCCAAACGTCCACTCTATTAGTTCTATTTAACATTTAGATCATGAACTTTAGATTTCTATCGCGTTTATTATAATAAGTCGCCGTGACTGTTTCTTACATATGATCTATTTGAGGATAGACGTATAGATGACATCATTGAGTGGGGGCAAGGGGGATCTTGTCACGAAGTCACGATAGTAAATTTTCGATTTCACGAATCACGAAACAAAAAAATTCACTTTTCACGATTCTCGAACACGTGCACGAAACTGTAATCAAAATTTGTACAAAAAAGTGCATTCTTTAACTTTACCAATAATTTACAGCTGTTGGAAAGGTGATATTTGAAATCTTAATTTG